ACTATTTGGAGTTCTATGTGCCACCCTAATGTGTATCTCAATTTCTTTTGAATGCTTGAAAACTTTCCTGAAAGGTTCTTTTTTTTTTTTTTTTGCGAAACCGGGATTGAACTCAGGCCCTTGCACTTGCCAGGGAAGCACTTATTCCACTGAACCATCTCCCCATCCCTAGAAAAGTTTTCTGTTATTATTTCTATGAACAAGTGATTTTATGCCCTTTACACTTTTTTGGATTCTTCACTGATTCTAATTCATCTTCTATTGGTCTTCTTTGCATTGTCTAGCAGATGTTGGATTAATTTTTTGTGGTCTGTTGCTATTTTTTTAGTGTATGCACTGCTGAAGTGAGCACCATTACTATTTTTAAGAGGTATATATTGTTTCTTTGGGACAGGGTCCCACTATGTCTATATAGTAGGTATATAGTGCAGGCTGTCCTTGAACTTGTTTATGTAGCCCAGGCTGGCTTCAGACTAGGGACAATCCTCCTGCCTCAGGCTCCCAAGTGCGGGGATTACAGGTGTGCATCGCTATGCCCAGCTAGGTTTGGTATTTCTAGCTTCACATTGGTTGACTCTGCTGTATGTCCTTTCAGTAGAAGTTTTAATCATTTGGAATTTACTTGAGTCTTTTTTTTATGGAATTCAGTTCTTTTGTATGTTTTGTGCTCATGGTTTCCATTCCTTTCTTTCTTTCTTTCTTTCTTTCTTTCTTTCTTTTTTTTTTTTTCAGTACTGGGGTTTGAAATGAGGACCTTGTGCATGCCAGGCAGGCACTTAAGCCACAAAGCTATCTCCTCAGCCCCTCCATTTCTTTCTTTTTTCTTTATTTTTTTAAATGAAAAAAAAAATTTATTTATTTATTTATTTGGTACAGGGTCTCGCTACCCAGCTCAAACTCATAGTGATCCTCCTGTCTCAGCCTTCCTAGCTCTTGGATTATAAGCATGTGCCACTACACCTAGTTTTGGTAGTTGGCACTGCGCGCCCCAGATTCCGGGGCCAGCACAGCAGGCAGTAGCAGTGATCAAACCCCAGTCCTTATGTTTGCCAGGCAGGTGCTTAGACCACTGAGCTATCTCCCCAGCCCTCTATTCCTTTCTTAATCCCCTCTATTTTTTTTTTTTGTCTGTATCTACTCTACATCTACTAATCACTTCCTTCATTATGGTCATCATCTTTTTGTTTTTGTCAAGTGACTAATTCACCCGTTTTGTGACTTCTCCTGCCTCCATTTAATGAAATTCAGTGAGGAAATCTTTTATTTCTTCCACTTCAGTGTGCCTTGATTTACCTTGGGTGAACTGTGGATGATGGGGTGCATCCTGCTTCAGAATTTTCTCATTTTCTGTTTTTCAAATTTGTATTTTGTACTGAGGCTTATAAATTTCTTATAGCAGGCAGCTTTATTACTATTATTGAGACCCCCTAGGAAATGACAACTTTTCAGAGATGTCTTCTAGATATCTTTGGCTTCTGGCTTTTGAATGTGTCCCAGGATCCTGCCTCTTCTGTTTATTAGGAATGAGAGGGTGCTGTCTGCTTGGCCTAACATCCAGTTTTTTGGTACTGTACTGTAGTGTTGATTATGATCCCCAGACAGCCTAGATATTGGCATACAGAGAAGACAAATTGATCACAACTATGTTTTCTTGGCTAAAGTGGTACAATCAGAAATAACAACAGCATCAAACACAGAATAGAAAAGAAAATGGCAAACTGTGATAACTAATAATTTGCCAACTTTCACCATAGGTACAAGATCTACAGTTACATAAAAAATGAGAAAAATCAGAAAATTGCTCTATTGAGCAATTTTACCCCAAGTAGATAAAAGTTAAAAAGGATAAGAAGCAAAAAGTAGATAAACAAAAAACAAAGAGATCAGAAGCAAGGCTAAAAGAGCAAAGAGGTTACTCAAGCCTCAGGAACTTGCTAAGACAGGAAAAAAAAAAAGGGAAAAACAAGAGTAAAACAAAACAAACCTAAAAACAATATTCACACTCATTAAAAAAAGAAAAAAAAAACCCAAAAACAAAGGAGGAGGGAGAAGAAGAAATTTGTAATTTAAAGCATGTGAGTACCTTCTGAGGTCTTCAGTTCTGTGGCCGTGTTCAACTCAATGCTTCTGCTCTTGCTGGTGGACAAAGTGTCTGCCAGAGCCCAGATCTGGGTTGGATAATCTCAGCAGCCTGCAGTAGGATCAGGGCAGGGTGCTGATTCTGGTATCTTCAACTCCATAGAACTTCAGGCTGCTCCTGGCCTCTGGTCATGGTTAGGGCCTGAGTGGGTCAGTCTGCCACATCTAGGTATTTCTTGCCAGCCTGACCACAGCTTGTTGACTCTGTAGTTATTCTTCACCAAGTCACCGAGAGAGATTAACAGTGAGAGTCTGATATGAACTCTACCTAGGGCTGCTGCAAGTCCTGGGTTGAGTTGGCCCCTCCCTAATATGGCGTCTGGCCAAGCAGGGAACAGGAAGTTCCTTGGACTGGAGCCACTCAGCAGTTGTAACACATAGCATCCATTGCTCTGTTCCATTGGTACATTTTTCCATGGAGGCCTCTGGACTTACTATATATCTGTAAAGGATATATCTTGAGTCCTCTTCTTTCCTCCTCTCCCTTCAACCCCTCTTCTTATTTACAAGGCTTTGTTTCTATTTTTATCCTTCTTTTCTCATTTTTTCTTTTTCTCTTCCTTTCTTTTCCCACCCCCTCTCTAGTTCCCCTTTCTTTTTGAACAATTTCTTCCTATTTCATACTTTATACATTTTGGTTCTTATTTACATTTTCAGTTTCTCACACTAGTGAGACAATGTATTATTTACACGTATATGTCGGATTCATTTTACTTAAGAGTATGGTCTCAAGTCCATCCATTTAGCAGTATATGTCCCAAGACTATCTTTCTTTATGGTTAAATAGTACTGCATTGTATAAAAAACCCATTCCACATCTTTTTTATCCATTCATTAGTTGATGGACATTTGGGTTGCTTCCAAGGTTTATGTATTTTGTGCTGCTTTAAATATGAGTTTGCATATAGTGTTGTGGTATGATGTCTTCAATTCCTTTGGGAAAATACCAAAAAGGGGAATAGCTGGGTCAAATGGAACCACAAGTCCTAGTGTTTTTGAAGAATCTCCACACTGATTTGCTAAGTAGTCACACCCGTCCACACTTGCACCAACAGTGGGAAAGGGACATTGTCTTATGCTTATGTCCTTAGCATCTGCCTACACTAACCATCTTTTTAAAAATCTATTTGATATTTAACAATCACAAAAGGATAGAATATTATCACGAACCCTCACAAGTCATCCCTTAGCGTGGATGACTACGAATGTTTCCCCAGCGTTTGCTAATATAATTGTTGCTGTGACATTATCATCACAAAATATTTTCTTTTTCTGCTTGCTTTTATATCCTTATATGCCGGGAAAATACACATAGGGAAGGCTTAGAAGTCACAGAATTGGGACCAGAGAGCTAGCTCAGTGACATAAGCACCTGCTTGGCTCTGGGTTAAATCCCTGGCACCAAAACAAAACAAACAAACAAACAAAAAACAGAATTCAAGTAGATTTCCTCTAAAATTCAAACTGAAATGACATAGAGATTCCATTTCACCCCAGTTGAAATTGCCGTTATCAAGAATACAAAAAACAACAAAGCTGATGAGGATGTGGGAGAAAAAACATTTCTGCATGCTAGTGGGAAAGTGAAGTTGTGTGGCTACTACAGAGATCAGTGTGGAAGTTCTTCAAAACATTAAAATATACAGAGCTACCATTTGATGCAACTCTACCACTCCTTGGCATATCCCTGAGGAAATTAAAGCCCGCCTATCATAGAGAAGCCGCATACTGTGTTTATTGTGGCACAATATACAAGGTACACTTGAAATATACAGTGCATTCTATATTAAAAACAATTGATCATAGTAAAACACACATTGCCATAAATCTCCCTCACAATACTACTGCCCATCCTGTGCTTGCTGTCAAGTAGCAGCCAATAGAAAGGCAGGAATGATTAAAGACACTTACGAAAAAGGACTTTAGGATTGCTTCCAAAAGGAACTGGGATAATGGATTAAGTTTTGAAGCAAGGGAGGGTAGTCCATGGGGCACTAATGGCAATGTGTCTTTACTGTCATATATTATTAAAAATTATAGTATTTATTGTATTTTTGATTCCATCACACACGATAGCCAAGATATGGAACCAGCCTTAGAGCCCATCAACAGATGGATGGGTAAAGAAAGGCAGTCTATAGACACAGTGAGGTCCTGTTCAGTCATAAAAAGAACAAAATGTTGTCATTTGAAGAGAAACAGAGGAATGTGGAGATCACCATGTTGAGCAAAATCAGCCAGACCCAGGACTGTAGGATTCCTGGCTTTTTATCAGTCCCAGGAGCACTAACGTTTTGGGTATTGTCACGATCTGCAGCAGTTGAAGAGGCCCGGAGACTCCTTTCCACGGAAGACGCTTGTGGCTGTGAGGCCACCCTGGCTTTCCAGGAGAAGGTCAGCTCTTATCTCCAGAGACTGAACACCAAGCATATCCTTTCTAGGTTTTCTGCTCTGCTTGGAGCCCACTTAGGAACCACAGCCGAGCCAAATATTCTACGATATTCTCCAGGCATGTGCCTTATTTGTTGCTGTAAGATGAGCAGAAGTAATGCACAATCTTTAAAATTTTTCTTCCAAATGTTTTAAAAGATGATAGACTGGGGGCCGGGGAGATGGCTCAGTGGAATAAGCCCTTCTCTGGCAAGTTCAAGGGCCTGAGTTC